GTGAATACTTGACGCATCTTTGTGTAACCAACATGATGCTTTTCAACCATGGCAGAGACATCTTCAATTCTGTCCATTTGCTTATCTGAAAATATAATTATCGAGAATTTAATAACATAAACAATTCTGACATTAAGTTAAATAACAAAAATAACAAATCAAATACAAATTTTTAGAACTGCTCAATTTAGTATGCACATGTTATCTTATTATTTTTTTTAATTAATTACAAACATGATTTCTCCACATTAACAGCACCGAATCTCAACAGTCATCCATGAACAAATAGAGTTAGAGTGGTGGATTTGCATGATTCATTTGTTGTACAAAATAACTTACCAGATTTTAATTTTTTTACATGTCTGGCTAAGGTGGATTTAGAAACACCAAGATCAGCTGCAACATCACGAACACTCCTTTGTTCAGTCAATACAATGTAAACAGCATGTTTGATGAGGTCTGCATCTTCCCCATGATTAGTTTTCCGAATATAAGTTCTCATCTGCAAAATGCAGTTTAAATTAATAAATAAACAAGTAAATAAATAAATATTAATGTTTTCATTATGCCTAAACACTAATCCTAACTAAAATGAACATATTTCTGTCAACAAAGTATGTATAAAATAACTGTATTCACTTATAATTTTAATAATAAATATTTTAAATTAATAATTACAGGTCTAGGCTGAGTGGAGGTTGGACTAGCCTATGCCTAGGGAAGCCTTTAACTGTCACTTATTAATAAAATCATTCATGTAAATTGATAATATTTATACTTCACAACACTATTTATGGAAGAATACAGTTCAGATAAGACATAAAGTGTATGCGGGGCATGTTGGGACACTTCATCCCAACATGCCCCAGTCACTCATTCACAGAACAAAGCCTAGCCCTCCGTGAAAGCAGTGATTTCATCACACGAGGCCTAGTACAAAACATAGCTTAAATAACAATATTTATTAGGGGTAAGTAAGGATGAATTTGATCATAATGATCTGGATAAAAATACAAATATTTATATCACGTAAAAAAATACTTAACAGTCAAAATTAAGGCGTAAATCGTGGTAAATAGGCAAGAAATCCTTGTATCATGTTGTAACTTCGCATAAAGGTGCTAATAGTGAGTGATTGCCAGAAAGTTACGAAAATTTTCCTAATTTATTTTTAATGAAGCAGTAGGAGTCGCTGTCCCAACTTGCCCCTGTCCCAACTAGCCCCGCTCTCCCCTACACAAGCCCTGCCAATTTAAACTGGAATAAACCTGGGTCGGTGATTTCATTGGCTACGAAGTATTTGTCAAGCCTGTGTACGTACATGCTCCAATGTTCAACTTTTTCAGTGAACTCACTGATCGATCTGTAGTTTGTTGTTATTTTGTTGCTATTACAGCAACTGTAATTTGGACTTCAAACTTCTTTGCGTTGTTGTTCACAGTGCGCTGCAAAGCAAAGTTTGCATAGCTGGGACTCCACACTCCTTCAAACAAAATGTGTAGTCATACTGTACATTTGAATGTGCGATCTCCCTGCCCACCACACAAAGCGTAGAACATCTCTATCTTTTAGGGGTCACATGCACCTGATGGATGAAACATTCCTTCAATGTCGGCCATAAACGCTACTTACTCTTGCCTAAATTTAAGGAGCACACCTACTAACTTGTTCATCAAGTCTCCTCTTTTGTCCTTTCTGACCTCCAATGGTGCTAGGGCGCCAGCATCAGCACGGACACACATGAACAAAGGAACACAACACCAAATTGTGTGTAATTGTCATTTATTACTTAAATCTTATTTTCTTCATGCTTAAATGACTAAATAGACCGAGGATCAGCTGCTTACCTAATCAAGTAAGCTCCCCATGTAAACATCATTCTAACTATAAAACTACATTATAATCAAAGTATGATATCTGAAAGCATATTAAACCACTTTGGTGTGTTAAAACAATGTCTAGATCTAAATAATACAAGGTTGTCAACTTGTAGAGGGAATGACTTTTACCAGATACCAGTAAAACCACGTGGGTGCCAGCCTACTGGGTTGGTACCCAAAAGAGCATAGTTAACGTTCCACACAGCTCAAACAGCTTAACAGCTGGCCTTGACTGAAATGACCAAAAAGCCTATCGGACAGAATGAAACAACTAAAAAGCTGACCTACATGCTCTTTGATAATATATACCCCTACAATTACCGCAACAATTATGTATTTAATTATTCTTATTCATATTATTCTGCAGTTCAACTAGTATCGCAGTAAATTAAACAGTATGAGTTTCACTGGCATTATATAATTGTTTTATGTAATAGCTATAACCATTTTACAACTCTTCATTTACAACATACATTTTTATTAGCATTGAATGTATACCCATGTATCAACAAGGTGCTAAGGGGTAAATGAGTTTCTCCGGCATTATATAATAGTTTTATGTAAATAGCTATAATCATTTTACAACTCTTTATTTACGACATACATTTTTATTAGCATTGAATGTATAACCGTGTATCAGTAAGTTGCTAAGGGGTAATGTGATTGTTATGGTCATATAATTAGCAGATGTATGTACTGTGACAAATACATACCAGTACCTTGCAGTAATTTCTAGGGGCAGCCTTTTCTATTAGTTGGAGAGATAGCTGACATTTATTTAAAGTATTGAGTGCAAAAGGTTTGAGTGTGCATTTCTATTGTACTTTGCCTACAAATGAAGGAACGGGGCATCTTAAGTTGCGCAATCCTGGGGTTTGGTCCCTAAGGGTCCCAAAAGTGTGACCCAAAAACCCATTTAATTAAAATTTCAAGTGCAACATCCGTTTCAAGTTGGTTGCATTTAGAATACCCCTCAAAATAAAGGGGTGCAACTTAAGACTTGAAAATGCCTGGCATTATTAATTAAGACACAGACTAATTAACGGCTAATTAACGATTTAATTAAACTTTCGAGTGCAACAAAAATTCTTTTTGCAAAACATAACTTAGTGACCCTAGACATTATAACCACAACTTAAGACATGATTTTTCTTGGGGTTTGTAGATAAGATGGGGTGGTTTGGCGCTGAGGGTTATGAGAACCCTTAAAAATAGACTTCTACAAAAGAGGTAGTGCAACAATTTCGATGGCTGTTATGGATAGAACAGTATTTCAAATGGACAAAAATGTAATTTAAGACGCATAATTACTTGGGGTTACTAATTAAGACGCCTACTAATTAACAACTAATTAACGATTTAATTAAAATTTCGAGTGCAACAAAAATTCTTTTTGCAAAACATAACTTGGTAGCCCAGACATCATATCCACAACTTAAGACATGATTTTTCCTGGGGTTTGTAAATAAGATGTGGTGGTTTTGCCCTGAGCGATATGGAAACCTTAAAAAATGAACTAAATACAAAAGAAGTAGTGTAATAATTTTGATCAATATTATGATAATGGACAAATATGCTCTCTGGAACCTGTCACTTTTGTTCACAAGTGTATATGGCCGGTTCTTGCCTTTTCGTGAAAAGGCTGAGGTATAGTCGCAGCCAGTGAATGCGTGCAGGCCGGGAAGTGCAGCACACATGGAGTTGCCAATCACAGCAGCAATTTTCGTTACGTTTACATAACGCAGGTTACCTTGTCCTTTTGTTCCAACCTCCATCCAGACCGTGAGGGTGGAGGAAACTCTATGGACATGATGAAGAAGCAACACCAGAATGTCGGTGTCGGAAGCTCTAATGACTATGTCACCAGGTGTGGATTTGTCTGCCTCAATCATGTGAAGAATCACTCTGGTATCAGCTTCAGGGTGGTTGCAGTGTAAAGATGGAACTGCTTCTGACTTCGCCATTCTCCACGAAATAACGAGTACACTCTCCCATCACTCCCAAGATCACCTGTCTTCCATCTAGAAGTGGCTTGTAGAAGTTGCTTGACCAATTCTTTCTGAGAAAGATGGGTAGCTCTCGTTCGAACGACTCCCTCTCTAGTTGTTTCTTGAAGCTCGAGTCTCTCTTCTGTTGAAGTCCTTCGATTACGAGCTCCCCTCCTAGTACAGTGTCTCTGCGCTCTCGCTTGCAATCCTTAATGGAAGGTCTCTCATATGTATCGAAGTTGATGTCGATCCTCTGTGACTTGTACGCCAAACTAGTAGTCAGGATGTTTCGTGAAAGCTCTCCGTACGTTTCAGGCTGATCTGGCGACAGGCAGTGAAATTGAAAATTACCATCAATGGTATGAGTTCCGACGTATGTTGGGCTACCGTGGTCACTGACAGTATCTTCCAGAAGTTTGAACAACTTGTTTTTATCAGTATGGGTCATCGTGCCATCACTATGACACATTGATAGTGGCACCGGTGTCAGTGGGAATGAGAATAAATGCTCCAGGGCAATGTTATTTGTTGCTGCTGTGACAAAGATCTTTGACAAAGATTTCATGCCTATTCTTGCCTCAGTCCTATTCTTCTATGGACTGAGGTCAGTTTGATTTTTTGTGTGCCCCATTTCAACTGCGGTAAGAGCTTCATTGACAAGTGCTGCTCGGCTGCTCTTTGTAACACTCCACCGTACTCTTGAATTGTAGTTGTTCGTAGATGAGGTGTATCCTGTCATCCGGGAAGCAGTATCAGCATTGATAGTTTGCTCTAGGGTCAGATCCACTGGAATTCGCGCAAACTCATTGTCTGATCGTCTTACTGAGAAGCCACCATCCTCTAGAATCTGCTGGAGACCAGGATGTGAATCATGCAAATTCATCAAGCCCAGCTGGTATTTGCTCATCCAGCGAGCGTAGTTCTGTTTGTTGGTTGCGAAATACAGATTGGTGATTAGAGTCAACATGGTGATGAAGAGATCGATGTCTGTCTCTCTGATTGCACGTTCAACGATATGGTAGATCTGTATGTACCGGATATACATAGCCCAAAACTTTGCAGTTCGACCAAGGTCTCCACTTTCAGCTCGGTTCTTGAACTTCTCAAAAGCCTCAAATAGCTCTACAAACGGTGCTGAGTTGCAAATACGATCAACATCTTCCTTCTTTTCGATGGGGACATTCTGCAGCTCTAAGAGAACCAAGTCCGAGTTCTCATCGTCCTTCATGAACTTGCGAAAAAGTAATGTCTCGAACGCAAGGGCTAGCATTGGGTGAAGCTGTTTACAGCGATTATAGCTTAAGCATTCGATGAACCCTCTCAGAGATCCTGGTGCTAATACGCCTGAGTCCGTCAGCATTGCTGGACCACCTGATTCTGCGATAAGCTTTCCGATGGCTCTGAAGTAGCACATGAGAATGTGGAATGCTCCAAACATAACAAAGAGATTGTCAAATTCTGGCCGACTGGCTACTTTGATTCTGTGTGCAGTCTTTGCGACATCTAGATCGTACGTGACCAGGCCATACTCCTGGCCACATTCCTTGGCACACTTCAGAGCTGTGCGCATGGTGTCTGCAACAACAGCATCTTTTGTGATGGGTTGGTTCAGGTTTGCCATATAGTGTACAACCTGCTTCGGCAATCTGTCTTGATGAAGGCGTGCATTAAATCAACCCCACATTGGCACAGTTTCGAAATTGAGGATATGGCTCACGAGGAATAATGTGTCTAGCTTTCGCGCACGACAAGAAATGTCAGGAAGCTTGCTATACTCTGTATTGGGATATTCAAACTGATCCATCCTTGGCTTCTTTCGATACGGAGCGACTTCTGCTGGCAAAACTTCCAACTTTCTCTTGCGTTTCTTTCTGAATGTGGCCAACACGGTTTCAGCTTTAGAAGACATGGTTGGTTGCTCAGCATCAACTTTAGTGGCATGTGGGTCAACGTTCTGGTAGAATATACCCATGGTATCATGTAGGCTCTCAAAGCCTGATAAAGTATGAACCAGCTCATCATAGTTATCAAATGCATTTCCCATGACGGGACCACACATCGCACCACTTGGAGAAAACATCTGTCTGCTTTGGATGGTTGTTGCAAGCTCAGTTTCTAGTTCCTCGTACTTTGAATAGCCAATGCAGTGGCCAAGGCGATTCAGAACTGTCATCAATTTACGGCTCCCTGTAATTGAATGCACCAGACTACCATGCAAAAA